CCCCAAAACCCCAAAACCCCAAAACCCCAAAACCCCAAAACCCCAAAACCCCAAAACCCCAAAACCCCAAATTAAAATCTATAAACCTCAATTAAATAATTATTCCCATATCGATCATGGACAATAAGCCTTCCTTCTCGAATGGTAATCTCCAAGGTCTAACCGAGCGTATAGAAGAGATTATAAACCACACCCAGATATACCAGGATGGGTTCAAAGGCTTCGGCCTTGCCCTCCACGACCGATACGGTAATTAACTCGGTGTCTGAATACTTCTTTCATAAGTCATTAATGTTCTAGTGAAGAATTACATTAACAACATTTATAGAACAGCTTAAGCTCACTGATGGAGTTCAGGTATTTTTAGACAATTTGATCACCTAGGATCCAACATTCAAGCCAAACTGTAAATAAAAGTATCAAAGATGAGATAAATATGTATAAAAAGAAATATGAATCAAAACAATTCAGCACAAAGGCAAAGTATTTGACAAACTTGAAGAATACCAGATCTGAAGTTTCTTCAGTAGGTTTAACAACCCCAGCTAGGTCTCATAATCTGAGCCAGAGTTCAAGAAAACAGATGGGGTCAAAGATAAGAAATATGAGTGTGATGACACGGAGGAAGAAGAAACAGCTAAGTGGGGGCTTGAAGACAACTCATAAGGACTTGTTAGAGCAGCTACGGATTAAGTGAAAGTTCCACAGCAAGTACAAGTTCGATCAAATCATCCTTAATTCTTCTCTCCTCAATTTCTATAAAGCTGGATATTATCAAAGTGAGATTGTATTATTATACATAGAACAAAGGATAAATTTGAATACCTCTGTTGATGGTAAATTTTAAACCCTAAATCATAGATGCACAAGCCCAAAATCCGATTAAACCTCCACGCTACAAACAAAGAGTCGGGTCAGTCGATGATAAAACAACATCATATTTTACAGATAAAATAAATCCAGGTAGAATTGTTTTTAACCGATAGATAACCTTCAAATTCCTCCTCTCCATATAAAAAGCGTTAGAGAAAGTAGAAAATATGATCCTGCAAGAACCTTCAATGATACCGAATCCGTCAGTGTTCAGCAATCCCCTCGAGGCTACACCATGCGTTCGAATGAGGGTCGCAGGGAGAAAATGCTTTACACAGCTCATAACTCTCCCAGAGTCACAGAGATATCAGCAAATTATGACAAGAATCAAGGCATTGAGCTAGAAAAATACCAGGAAGTTCCCATCACTAGTAACACTGTAAATCTGAAGACTAAATAAGGCTCCAAAACTGTACAAAGAACTTAACAAAGTTGAAGATGCTCTCGATGAGCTCGAAATGAAGCAAGAAGTTAACGAAATTCAGAGATTTGCCTCTGCTGAAATAAAATTGACAAACATTCTAGACAGTAAGTCTCCCTTTTAATTTCCTGTAGAACAAGAGACAATCAAAGTTCGAGTAGTTGTTCATATTTAGACAATTCTTAGTAAAATTGAGAAGAAGTATGAAGCCAGTGGGATAATCCCAACAGATACTGAAAAGTTGTCACCAACAAAGCCAGATACTAGTCCTCAGGACCAGCAAAATCTGGCGCCTATTGGTATAATTTGAGCTAAATTCTAGTGGTAAATAAACTATTCAACCTCTTCAAGAGGCTTCTCCAGACAGGGGATGAGAACACCAACCATGCACACAAGTTCTACTCTGAAGAGCTTAAAATAAGAGATGAAGCAATTGCTTCTCTAAAATCAACGTAAATTCCAAACTCATCCTCAATAGAGCCAAAAGATTAGGTGCAGAAGTAAGAGCTTTCCACGAGATCAGAAAGGAAGCCCAAAACAGAGTCGAGCAGGAGATGAAAAAGTTAGATGAAATGGGCAGTATTGGTGCCAACAAAAAGCCGAGCTTCCTTGATGAAGAACTGATCGCTTATGATCCCTCAACAGGGGACATAGTTTATACTCTGAATGATCTTTACCAATTCCTCAAGTTCGACTCTTATTACCCACAGGAGAAATCTGAAATGGTAGATGATAAATACAAGCAACTTGAAGCAGAGTTTGTCGAGCAGCTCCAAAAATTCCAGCACACCTCAGCTGGCAAAGCCATAAAGATGATTTTCAAGAAGCCAAAATCTAAAAACGTCTGTCAGCAGACAAACCTTCGTGATTACGAAGCTGAGATTGAAAACTTGACTACCGAATTAGCCATATCCGAGCAGAAGCGTAATCATTTAAAGATTGACAACAACAAGCTCATGAATGAAGTCACAAAGGTAGGCTTAACATCTCAAGTTCAGTGGAAATAATGAAGTGAAAATGAAAAGCTCAGAAGTCTTACAATTGAGAAAAGATATCCAAAGAGTCTCCAGAAATCTTAAAGGCGGCCAGATAGATTATAGGTACTCCAGCAGTTTCGACAAAGCTGAGAATATTGCACTACAGAAGAAGATTGACCAGTACAAGGTGAGATTTCGTGCCTAAAAGTTTTTAACCCATTTGGCACTAGCCTAAGGAAATTATGCAAGATTAGATAAGCTCTTAGACTTCAACATTTCTAGTTTCTGCCATATACAGTTTGATCATATTTATAGGAAATGCTCAGCAAGACTGAAAGACATATGAAAGATGCAGTCAAAAATTTAGAGGATACCAGGAAGGCTAAAGACATCGTAGTTAAAAACCTGAATGTATGCTTACCTAAATTACTCTGTAGAGTTTAATCAAGAATGTTGAGTTCCTCGAAGGTAATCTGAGGATCAAAGAAGGAACAGTCAAGAAGCTGAGGAAAAACCTGAGTGAGATCAGAGACTATCTGAATAAACAGAATTTTGAAGTTGACAAACACGAGACTATTGGAAAGCTTATCCTAGAAGATCATGAGAAGGACGATATTGTCTATGAAGACAAACAAATGCAGACTGACAATATAGACAACCCGATAGAGGTCTCTTCAGTTGACTCATCTGTATCGAGCCTGCTCTCGCCCAGACGTATGAAAGGCAGTGGAAAGAATAATAAGGGAATGAAGAAAGATAGGAGTAACTCTCGGCTTAAGAATGCTTATGAAATCAGCATCCCCCAGGATTCCCCCAGTCGAAGGAATTCTCAGCTGGTAGTCAGTAAGAAGAATATATTTGAACAAGAAGAGACCAAGCAGATTAAGCAGAAGGAGAAGAAATTGAAGAAATCTAAACCATCTTCAAAACGAGGATCTGGAAGCCAACAAAGCAAATACAGTGGCAGTTTGGAATTTCCTAATCTTCCTGTGATCAGTGAGGATATTAACTTATTATTTAGGGATCAATGACCTCCTCACTCCAGACCCAGTCCAGAGTAAGTCAATTGTTTTATTTTAGGCGAGCCTGGAACCTCAGTATACGAAGATTATGATGATAAGTTAAAATAAACTCAGAAGAACCAAAATAAAGGTTTATAAGAAGCTGAATGAGCTCGGCCAAATTGACCACAGATGGATTCAGACTGATCCCATATCTCAAGAAGAGACAGAAGGTATTAATTCTAAGTCAATTTTAGAGGTCAAAGTAATAAAATAAAAACGCTTTTACTCAAAAACCTGATCGTAAAGAACGTCAGAAAGCAGATATCCCTAAAAATCCTACTAGCAGTGAGTAAGGTTTCTTTTGTGATAATCTAGTATTTCCCAGTATCAGTTAAACATGTTGATCAACATCCTGCATATGATCCAATCAGATGGAGTCCTAAATACCTACCTATTCAATGAAAAAGATGTTTTCAAAATAAAAGATGAGATCATCGAAATTCTGCGTGTGCATGCTGCATCACTCAGCATCGGAAGTATTTGGATGAACTACTCCGGAGCTTCAAGTCTCGGTGGGCCAACTAAGGCATCTGAATTATACAATATCGGCCAAAAGGACCCAGTCCTCCACTACATCAAGAAAGAAGATATTATCCCAGAAGTGGTCAGCCTTGTTTCTAAAAGTAGCAAACCAATCAAAAAAGCAAAGACAAGGAAACTAAGAAGCTTCAAGGGGATCTCATAAGATAGTAATTTCTTCCCCTCAGGAGCTTTTCCAGGTTTATATTTTCAATCATGCTAAAATAATTTGGGGTTTTGGGGTTTTGGGGTTTTGGGGTTTTGGGG